TATAGCAGAAACTGTTGAACTAATATTTGCTCCTAATAAAATACATAATATTTCCTTTCCACTTACAGTATAACCTGTTCTTGATGTCTTGTTTGAGCATGCATTAGCAAACATTTTTGCCTTGTTCACACAATTCCGAGTTCTTATGATTCAACCATTGCACCTGCTAGGTTTTCCTTGTCTGATGATGTGTAGACAGTTTTTCATTTCCAACTGGTCTTATTTCCTTTACGGTCTAATCATATTATTTCTGGATTGGCTGATTAGTGTTTAAATGACAATATTAATGAGATGGTGGAAAGTGTAGACTTCGCATAAAGCAAATCTTTTACATTTAAAATTAGTGTTTCAACAGAATCAAGATGCTTGTGACATATAAATTTGAAAAGATAAACATGGTAATACTAAAAATTAGAGTAAGTTACATGTAACAAAACTCTTGTTCTGCTCATTTTATGTGTTTAAAGAAATATAACACTAATACATGCACATGACGTTTTGGCATCATTGTGTCACCATTATCAAAATAATGCAGATTTTTAAGTTGGAAGGTTAAAGTTATCTGGTTTAGTTTATGTCATGTTTTAAATTAGACGAAAGTAACAAATGAAACCAAAAATTTGGAAAGAAAGAACTACTGGATCAACAACTTTCAATCATCAATTAATTGACTTTTGATTAACTTTTGATTCTAAATTTGACTCTCTCTCAATTTCTGTTTCAATCATTGCTTTGAACCAGTTTTGCGCACAGCCTAACAAGTCTTATCAAATGCTCTACTTTTGACACTGCAGGGGTAACTCCAAGTATCATTATTATGGAATACGCATTAAGCCAAGCTCACCACTCAATGCTTTGTCAGATGAAGCTCAGGTAGCCATGAGACAGTCACCATCCACACAGAAAAGGTAATTAAAAAAAAAAATAGTTGGCAGAGAAATTTATTTGAATCTTGACTATTTGTATTGACAATAGCCCCTCCTCCATTTCCCACAAAAATCAACTTTTTTAATCCTTTTGTTTCTTGTGGACAAACACCATTTCTCATTTTGATTTTGCATGGTTAGTCATCGTAAAACACATAAATTCATTGACATCTCTTTACTTTGTCACAGACTGAAGCCTGCTGCCAGGTTGGATTCTACTGACACAGGTGAGGCAGCATCACACTCCCCGGCAGTGTCAGCTGATCAGCAAGCACAACAGAGCCAGATGCAGCAGCACCAGCAATACCTTGGTGATGTCACACAGGGTCTGCCAGAGTTTGAGGAACTGGACCTCAAAGATTGCCCTCTTCCAGGTAATCAGTGCTTGAAATTTCAAGAAAAATTTTTGGAGCTAGGTGAACAGTGCATGTAAAATTTGAGTAAAAGCCCATCTTCAAAAAGGATTAACATGCAATCTTAAGTGATTCTGTCACATTAAAAGATAACTTGTGAAGTTGGCGTGATTTGTCGTGTGTCAGTGCAACGTGAAGTTAAGTTTTGGCCGGAGGTCTGGTGGTGACCTGGAAACCTGAAATTTTTGCTGTGGAATCCCCAGTTTTCTATTCCATGGAATTCAAATCATTATGTTGTTTAAGCTAATTCACATTTTGCTCCTTTTGGTAAGCACCAAGAATCGTGACCTCTGGCCTGACCTGATTTTCTGAGCATGCGCAGAGTCACTGGAAGTCTTTGATTCACAGACTTCCCATCAAATCTGGCAAGTCTGATTGGCTACGTATACGAAACAAATAGTCTGTGCATGCTCAGAAAATCGGGTCTGGCCAGAGGTTGCAATTTTTGGTGCTGATGAAAGAGCTGTAGAGCCCCATGTTATTAGCCAAGAGTTCTGGAGACCTGAATGCCTTGAGACCCAATAATGACACTAAGATGTCCTTGTGCTTATTTGTTTCTTACAGAGGGGATTACTGACCAAGATCTTGACTCTTTTGTTGACATGTACCGGGAACACTGTGAGGTAGGAATCCTATTTTAAAGCTGTCTGTACATTTTATGTTTTTTCAGAGACAATATAATCAGGTCATTCATTCTAACATGTGAGACTTGCTACTGTGAATGATTTCAGGTAGGAGTAACTAATTTATCAGTGGTGGGTATTGAAACATAAATGGTTTTAATTCTTTGTTTTACAGGCTTTCCTTGATGTTGTAGTCAACTTGCAGTTTACTTTGGTGGAATCCTTGTGGCAAACATTTTGGCGACACCCAGCAGAAGATAAATCCGGCTCTGGAGCAGAGGATGATGAGAAAAAAGATGGAGGGTAAGAGTGCATACTATACTCAAGAGCGTTCCTCAATTACAGCGTCGTAGCCAGTAGGAGGCAAACCAAGGCACTTGACTCAGTCAATTTTTTTGTTTCTGTCATTTTTCTTGTTTGAAGGAGGAAAGTAAAATGCTGCTTAATACCTAGGAAGAGAATTTAACCATGGACATTGCCTCAGTCAACTTTTTTGGCTACGGCCCTGAATTAATTAGTTAAAGTGAAGTGATAATTAATCATAATAACTGCATGTAATAGTACAATACAATACCTGTCATGACACTCCCCTGGTGGGGCTTCTCTGGGACAATACAAATAAAACAGGGTCATGGATCACAGCTGTTCAAAATGTTGAAATAAGCCTGCACATTCTGTGGGTTTCATCATCTTGCCTCTGAAATTGAGAGCAGTTAGTGCTCAGTTAGAAAGCCATCACCCAAACACAATCCTAGCACACTGGCTAGGACTTAGACTGTGATTATGTCTAGAGCCCGACACATGAGGAGGAATATGGACGGGGTTCAAGTGAACTGCAGAAATCCAACCTAACATGTAAACTACTTTGCCACTATGTATCCTCTCCACCCAAAACGGCAATTAATTTTTGCTTGTGCAATTTCTCTTAGTGATGATGGAGAATATGAGAGCAGGCTAGCCCAGAGCAAACTGCTACAGCTGTGTGAGTATGATCCAGTGATAACATTCGTCAAGGCTTGTGATCACCTCCTATATCAGACACTGGTTGAAATCCTTATTCCCGATGTTCTACGACCAATTCCAGGTATGACAATTCATCCCTAGCTGCTGTTAAAATACATAACTCGTGCAATCCATTTTGCAATTGATTGAATTATTCACGCATGTTGAGTGGTTCTTACTTATGATCAATTGAAGGACAGACATATAGATGATGCAGGGTTTTGCTCTAGAAGTGCCCGGGTGCCACAGGCGACTAACTTTTACTTTTGGGTGACTGGAAAAACTTACTTTTGCCATATAAGCTGAAGTGCTGGGTGCCCAGGATTTCATGGTTATGAACCTTTGGGCTCCTTGTAATTTTTCTTTAGACCACAACCTTGTGATGTCATCAGCATTTCTATTTGTTTCTTTATTATTATTTATAAAACGAATAGATTCCGTATTTACCTTGATTCTGTTGAGCTACTGATCACATCACATGAGAGGTCAAAATGTGGTAAGAACATCAGTGACACTTGGCTGTGATAATTGCCAAGTGTGCCACTTTTTTGTTCTTATCACATTTTGACATCATCCGCAATCAATAACTGAACAGATTCATCGCAACATGGAACCTATTTGTTAAACTTCATTCAATTTTCCTGCAAGAATATACTCCTCCCTTTGTCTATGAAGTATACTGTGCACCAATGCAAAGTCAATGAAAAATACAGCAATTGATAGTTTGGGATTTTTTCTTCCTCCAGCTTCTCTGACACAAGCTGTACGTAATTTTGCTAAAGGCCTTGAGGGCTGGCTGGTGAACAGCCTGGATCAGATCCCTAAAAAGATGGCTGATGTCAAAGTGAGTATGATTGCAATCCATGTTTTGTACTGCAAATGTTTAATCTGTTATCAAATGCTTTGGTTGATCTATACTGTCTTTATCTAACAGGTATCCACTTGTAGTGCATTTGCACAGACTCTCCGCCGCTACACGTCACTGAACCATTTGGCTCAAGCTGCACGTGCTGTGCTTCAGAACTCTTCTCAGATCAGTCAGATGCTGGCTGACTTGAACAGAGTGGACTTTGCCAATGTGCAAGTAAGCTTTCAATTTTGNTTAAATGACATTTTGAAAAAACTTTCTGTTTTAATACAAGGCTGTGGTCTAAGAAAAATTACAAGGAAACAAAGGTTCCTATAACCCAAAAATCCTGGGTGCCCAGCACTTAAGTTTATATGAAAAAAGAAAGTTTTTCCAGTTGCCCAAAGTCAAAAATTAGTCACCTATGGCACCTGGGTGCTTATAAAGCACAGCCCTGTTTGATGACTCCCTAAACGGAGTAAGTTTGTTCTCCATCTAACTCAATGCATTTGAAAGTAATCTAATCCATTTCAGAGGCTAATATTGCAGTTTATTTCTCCTGTAGGAGCAAGCCTCATGGGTGTGTCAGTGTGACGACAATATGGTGTATCGACTGGAGCAGGATTTTAAACTCACCCTCCAGCAACAGGTGCGATGCAGCAAATTGTCATTTTGTACTGCTGTTCAAGGGTAGATCATGCTATTGACCTGGTCCCAGTTGTTCGAAAGTTGGATAATGCTATCCACTGGATAAATTGCTAATAATCCACTGGTTAAGTCATGTAGGTGTTGAGCGAGTGAAGATCATGGACCTGATTTACTGTGAGTTATAACTGTTGTTAGAAGCATTTGTTTTCTTTTTTATAGAATTCTCTTGAACAATGGGCAAGCTGGTTGGAAGGTGTAGTTGATCAAGTTCTTAAGCAGCACGAGGGGACAGAGGAGTTTCCTAAGGCAGCAAGACAGTTCCTCTTAAAGTGGTCATTTTACAGGTACGACTGCTTTCTAAAATAAGTAGTTTTGAAATTTACTGTTTGTAAAGCTTTAGTACAGGAAAAACACTTCTAATGTAAAATTATTGTAAAAAGTAAAACAAAAAATCATGTCATGGTACAAAGCTTCAAGAAATTGTAGTTTTAGCAAGGGTCTTAACTTGTTGGAACTTACATGTAACTCTCTTTTGCGTATCATGTGCATACATCCTTTATTTGAAAAGGTTGAATTAAAGGCAGCACCAGTGTTTTATTGTAGTACATGTATTTATTAAGGTCACCCTAACAATTCAACATTTTTCATTTAGTTGTTTTTGATGGAGAGAGGCACTTTGAGGGTGATGTGCCTTACTCAAGAAAATAAATTCTCAGTCTCGACAAATGCTCTAATTATTTTGCCACCGAACGTAAATGTTTGGCCATACATGTTGTTAAATAATCTGGTCTGTTTTATCTTGGTCAATTTTAGTTCCATGATAATTCGTGACCTGACCTTGCGAAGTGCGGCCAGCTTTGGCTCATTCCATTTGATCAGGCTACTTTATGACGAGTACATGTTTTATCTGGTTGAACACAAAGTTGCCAAAGCTATTGGTGCATCACCCATGGCTGTTATGGGAGAGGTGAGTGATCACAAGAACATTAAGAAAATTTGTTGTTCTACAATTGACACTCCTTTATTTTAGTGTGATGTTTAGGAACTTCAAAATTCACAAGGAGTGTGTGAAACCTGACAACGATTTTTCAGTCATGCATAAGCATATCGGAAGGAGACAAGGATGTATTAGGAAGCGAGCTTATGCAGATTAAGCAAAGACAAATTGCAATATTGTACAACAGCTCTTGCACACAAGGTCTAGAATACTCTCACATTCTGGACAGAACGTGAAAGCCAGGCTGAGTCCACAGTATTTTTAGCACTCTATATTTACAGAATGAGCAGAACTGAAAACTTGACACTTATGTTTTATATAACTCATCATTGTGTAAGAAATGCCATGTCGCTTCTGACTTTGTTTTTCTTTTGTCCTTTTTCAGTTTGTTGGCCTTGGGTCAGCATTGTCCATGGGCTTGGATACAGTGGAAAATAGTCTTCTAACAGAACAGCCCGACTGCACACTAAGCTGTAAGTACAGTGAATCCCCTCTTTGCTCATTTAATAATGTATGCTAGGGGAAGGGGGGGGGGNGGCTCCCATATGAAAATGTTGATGGTGCTCATCAGAAAATTTGAATTAACCCCCTAAGGAGGCCAATCTGGCTGTGTCAACGCCATTTGACACCCTAAAAGGTACAGAATAGGATTGATTACCAGACGCTGTCCGGGAAGGAATCCCACACTAGTAGACTGGACTTGACAGACCGGTCAATATCAAGCCTGAAAATGGAAATAAGAGCATTCTTTTTTTTAAAATTATTTCTTCAAGTGCACCCTAAAAGATACTTTGATAGTTAAAAATAGTGGCGTTTCATTTTGAACACCCTAAGTGAGACCAGAATCCTTGGCAGGCTATCTTAAATGTAGCAGATTAGTGTTAATGATCTTGTTTTCGTATTAATAATTATTCTCACACCGGAACATTCATTCCCCTGGGAATGTATGTTAATGGTGATAAATAGCAGCAGTAATGTATGATAATTATTTTCCTCTTGCAGATGGTTCCCAGGCCACCAGTTCTAGCAGCTCTTCTAGCAGTTCTCGGCCATCTGGGACCGGGTCCCTAGAGCCAGAAGCTAAACGGCCTCGTCCAAGCTAAACTGTCATGTATTATATCCCTGTAAAATATGAAAAGAAATATTTTATTCCTAAAAGCTTTTGATGGCATATTAATAAGTAAAAAAGGTTATTAATTAATAGTAATAAGAAACAAATGTTTCATTACTCGAGCACTTCAGAGCTACATTAACCATAAATTATGGGAATTATTTACCGTAGTTGTAACTTATATTGTTACAAAATATATGTTGCTTATTAGTAGAGTTGATTGAACGTAGGTTTTGTCTTACACGTTATTAGTGCAAGACAGTAAATAGTGCTTCTTATGATCAATTCCACATCCTTTATATAATTTCAGCACATAGTTACACTAGTCCAACTTGCATTCTAATGATAAGAATGCCAAAATCCAAAAGCAATGCACACTGTAAGCTTTCTTTTCCCAAATCCCAATACTGTTAAATTTAGCAAAATCGGTGGTCAAAAAAGATAAGTTTTAATGTAGTTTCTTTGGGGTTTTCGAGGAATTGAAAACTTAACATGCAATAAGCAAAATGAGACATTTTGACAGTTTTTAAGAGTCTTTAAACTAAGCAACAATCAGTGTTTGAGAAACAGTAGTTTAAAATAATGATATGGATTGAGGTGGTTCCTTTAAAATCCAATTTTATGATAGTTTTTAACAATTCAAAATACTATTTTTACCAGGACAGTAGTTGCATATAATAAGGAAAAAATGCATTGTATGAAACAGCATATTTTAACAACCATCTAGAGAAAAAGCTTTCTTTGTTGAAAATAAAATTCAGTTGTCTGTTTACAGTGAAAAAGCATTTTAATAAATTGATGTAAAATCAACAGCTTAAACCTTTGGGGACCTTTCTGAGATACCCTTTTTATTACATTTTTGTTCTTTTCAGAATCAGCACAGTTTGAATATTGTGCCATGTTTCATTGCACATAGCTCTGAGATATCAAGAT